TGGCTGGTGAAGTCTATATTTGGTTGACATCACTTGAGTCTGAGTTCTGTAGGGATTCAATGGTAGCTCTCGAACACTTCGCTGACCACTTAGAGCGTATGGAGCTAGCCGAAAACACCAGTGAGTACAAAGCCGTGGATTTCCTTGAGCAGATCCTGGGAGATACCGCGAGTGTTAGATGCAAACTTGGATCAATCTTCAGGGATCCTTGGTTTTCTTCTTTGTGGACCTTACAAGAGGCCTGTCTTTGCGAGCACGCTATCCTCCTTACTGAGTCTGGACATACTGTCCCGAAGCCATACCGTCTCGCGCACCGCTTGAAGAGCCCTCCACTTCTAGAGCATTTGATTTCTGATTGCCAGACCATCAAGACGAGCTTATTACCTTATGCAGAGTATAGCGAAGAAATCAAGGACCTTCTTTTGATTGTAGATCGATCAGGACTGAGCTTCATAAATCCCGGCATGAATGCGAGTGCTGGCTCTCTGTTGCTGTACTCTGCTGCACGCTATCGAACGACTACAAATCCACTTGATCGCATCTATGGCATCATGCAGGCTTTCGAATTCAGTTTAGGTACTTCGAAAGAGCCAGGAAAACACTTTACCCTGCCAGAGCTTGAGGATCAGCTTGGAGAAGCCCTAAACTCCCTGTCGCCTATGACTGCACAGATGCATGTCCACACGACTCCACCAGTATTAGGTTCGGCTTGGCGACCATCAAATTCTTCGTGGTTGCCCGATGTATATTACATGGCCCACTCCGTCGGATCGATGAGTACGATTGCTCGAGATGTTGGCAAGCGACCTGTGTACACAGGCAAGATTTGCCCCCTTTCAAAGCTGCACAGCTTTTGGAATGAAGCAACTGCGTACGGAGAACAACTATTCGCTACTCTAGGCCCCAAGTGGCAACATTATCCCGTCAATATTCATCTTGACGCAACGATGCAAGGCCCCCAAGAGCCTCCACACAACGTGCGACAGGTGCAGAGTGTAAGGCAGCCACCAAGTTCTTGTCCCTGTAAGAGTTGTACAGAACGACCGAGACGGCAGAATGATGGTTTACTCCGGTTCATGAACGCAATGCCAATGCCAGAAACGGAGTATGAGGTTCTGTTGCTGGGGCTGTGCACCCTTACACGCTGGACCCGCCCCACAACCGAAGGGTTTAAGGGAGGCTCAAGCTACACAGTTGCAGCTCGCGCAGGCCTCTTGGTCGTGAAGGAGCCATCATTGGGCAATGCAGTGTGGCGTCGAGTCGGAATCGCCTCTTGGGAGGCTGGGTATGGGGAGTTAAAGGCGGTGCATGAGGCGCTTTGGGATCCATGTCAATGCTATCTCGCATAGATGATAACTTGTACATGAGCCCGGCATTGCGCGAGGACAGTCTAAGCCATGGCGGACATCTCGTCTCTACCTTCGTTGTCACGTCCAGCTATGAGCGTTGTGCTGTGAAACATGCATCCGCTATCGATCCTGGCCGTGATTAAACCCCTTGGCGCATACATGAAAGAGCGATATCACAAGATCGACCGTAGTTCTCCGTTGAAGGCAAACCGTTCCTGGTTCCTGCCTTTACAGCTTGGGTATGTTGACCCAAGTCCCATTCCTACGCCTCTGCTTAAGCATTCTGCGAAGCTTGTACTTGCCGTCCACGATGAACCTTCCGACCCTTTGAAATTCATCTTTCTTCTCGTGAGTTGGTTTCAACATCAGCCCTAATACCTGGTCGGATAGTCTTCATTCTTAACGCTGACAACTGGCAAGTATGTCAGCTCACGCTCTGAAGGCCCTGTACTTTGATCCAGGTCAATACTGTGGCCCGAGTTTTCTTCAACTCGTCGGCCACGAATCGTTCGGAAACCCCAGTGTTGAGGAGCATTTTGCTGGCAGACTGCAGGTCCTAGGATACCACGGCCTTTCAAGCACCCGCAAGTGATTGGTCCCCACACGTTCTCGCTGGAATATTCTATAACGACATCAACGACCTCGAATAACACCTCAAAATCGTCAAAGCTCGACGGCTCAACGGCGCAGTAACAGAAAGCCATGATCTGGATGGTGCCAAGTAATCTGATGGTTGAATGTTTGCTACTCCATCAACGGACCAAAGTAGCTGTCGCTCTAGGCCTTTGCCCTAAAAGCCGGCAAGATACTCGCCCTGAGTAAAAGAACGGATTTATTCTACTACTCCTGCGAATGCCATGTATACATCGGATGGAACTGTCAATGCACATCCAGTGTAATAGCAGACAATGTTATGCCGCGCATCTTCCGAAAACTGTTGTTGGTGATTCAAATAATCTCGGTTTGTGGTGATAGGTAGCTGTTCCGGCACTCGCTCCGGAACCGTTTCACAAGAAGCCATTTCCATGCACTCCCAGGACATCTGGTTACTCCAAAGTGCAGTATGCGGGGCGATAATAGACGCTCTTGACAGACCCAAGCCCTCTCACTCAACGGTGCTGTGGAGATATTGACATGCCAAAATTCTGCATCGAAATAGATATATTTGAGCTCTTTGCTTTGTGAGTCGCGGAGAATCACATTGAAAGGTCGTACTTTGTCAGCATTACGATCAAGGAAGCAGCCCACAGTAGAATCAGCCGCTCCGGTCGCTGAAATCTTTGTTATCGAGTGTCTATAGATATCTCTCATTGTGGCAGATTCTTTGAGTTAGAGTCCTGAAGGATACGAAGTGGGTCGATCCATAGATAACTAACTTTGAACAATCTGGCAACCGCCACGGCGTCTTGGAAGGTCCTAGGAGGCTTGGTCAACGGTATGCCTTGTCTAAGCTCCTCGATGTTACTTTTTCGTAGTGTGATAAATTGAGCAGCTCCCCAGCAATGACTAAGGGTCATGTATTCGCCTTCACGGGGATTGGTATCGGTTACCGTGACTCGAATCAAAGCATGTGTCTCGCCAGCATCTAAATCCAGCAAACGCGGTGGAAAGTTGCTGCCACAGGGATTTGGCCTGCACCTGCTGTGGGTGCTTGAGCATAGCTGAAGCCATCTTTTGGCCAAAGTCTGATTCGACGTCAAATTTTCATTGGGTCGGACTTCATGACTGTTGAGGATTTGCGGATCGCGCCCTATCCAAGACGAAGAAGGTGAGCTGAAGCATATCCAGATCTCTATTATAAACTGACCTTCCACAGGCAGCACCCCAAGCCTCAACTACCATTTCCGCATTCCTTCATCATTCATGTCTATCAGTAAAAATGAGAACTGTCCATAGTCGGGCTCTGAATCATCCCAAAACTGTATGTTTACGTCACGCATAACAGTTAGACCACTAGCTTGCTCTTGGATCTTGTCGAGCAGAAGACCGCAGAGTCTGCAACCTCGCTGTGCAGTGATCATCAGGGTGTTAAGATATCGAATATGCGGTGCCCATTTTCTCCCCCAGCCGTCACGGAGGATTTTGATGCAGGCATTGCACAAACCTGAGAAGCCCGGCACAAATGTCATAGGCTCCAAACAGACGTCGTCTTGCCACATCTCTGTCTCAACTGGGTCATCAAAAGCTGAAGGAGTGGCACTTATGGGAGTAGACATGACTTTATCGAACAGCAGGTTATAGTATGAAGATGTTCCAGAGATGCAGACTGCAATAGAACGTTCAGCCTTCAGGGTCTTTCGACCCTCAAGGCTGTCAGGCTGGTTGTATGGAGAACGAAACCCGTGCACCAGAGTCACAAGGTGGAGGGTAAGATGGCTGTGACTCTTATGACCTGCCACGGGTATGCTTCAGCAACCTTGGTTCTGGCTCCATTGCTGTTGTGGTTGTCAGGAAAAAGAAGAGGACGGAAGACCTGGGCTGTAGCCGGAAAGGGTGTGGACATTGACGTATATCCTGCTCGGCTGATATTTATAGAGAATCTATATTCTCTCTTACCTACTTAAAGTGCTGCGTCATGTACCATCTCTTCCCGTCTCACCCCCCCAAAAACATGTTTTCAGCACTCAATTACCATTCAGAGGTGATCTTCTCGATGAAATGAAGAACTATTCACGATCTTTCAGTCTTCACTTTCTGTTCCTCGGAACGCTAGCTATCCAGGCTTCAAGGTTGAGGCGGTCTCCTCTGCAGACAGTCGCCTTTGAAGCTAATTCGCTAGCAAGGTAGTCGCCCGTAAGCGATGTACAAGCTTGGCAAGAGGTTTCCATGACTAGGAGATGATATGAGCAGCATCTAATGACTTTGTGCCCTACAGTATTAGCCCGGGACATCTGAGTCGATATCGCAGACTTTCATCGTATGTCGAACGTTATGAGCTGCTTTCGCCAGACCTGACGTAGAATGACTAGACAGGGTCCTTGGGCCATGCGATCGAAATTGCGTACGGGAATACAGAGCTCCCACAAGACTGTGTGACTGATCGAGACTCCTGGGCTGGATTGATCGCTCCCTAGATGTTAGACGACTGGATTGGAGCTTTCGCATTCTGGAATAGGACCGCCGAGGCTCTGCTTGTGCCTCACGGCCTACTCACAGAGCGGGACTCCTTTCTATCATCCACTCAGCTGAACTCGTTCGATCTGATCTTAGAATGGCTACAATGACACCGGTTCTACCGAACTGTTCGAACCGTATGATTATCGTGCAGATAAATCAGGGTCCGATCTTAGACTTTCGGCTTGGTTCACATCCCTTTGGACTTTGCAAGAAGCCTGCCTGCGCCCTGACACGTTGTTGTGTTCAAGAGATTGGGAAATGCTTACGGTGGGAGGCGGCGTACCAAAGCCCCTGGATGGATTGGTTGCACTATCGGCGCATGTGTTAGATCACGCTCTGACCTCGACTGTTGCACTCGATCCCGAAGAGGCTGCTTCACACCGATTTGACTCGGCTTTTCTAGAAATTTCCTCCTCCGAAAAGCTCGGCGCTTTGGTTCGGGGAGGCCATTACCCTAGAGGGTACATCGAATTATTTGCAGTCCTTGAACGGACTGGATTGGAGGATCTCCACGTGATAAATTGAGAATCAATCATGAAGCTTGGAAGCCAGAGGCATTGCAAGGAAGGCCGAGCCGAGGCCATTATGTCGGTGATCCGGGCTACTGGGTGGTTTATCGAAGCACCTCGAACTGGAACGCTCCGCGAGTTAGAAAAGGATCTTGTTCTGGGTCTCTATCCGATCTTGTTTCTCAGAGAAACAGCTGAAATGCTAGGGGCTCGCTTCTACACTTCAATCGTCATTCGAACCGATATCGACGAGGATTTCTCTAGGATTTTAGACATTCGAGGATCGCTTCTGCCATTCAACACCCATAGCCAGGACAATGGTCAAACCTTCGAAGAGATTTGCCTCCCGCGATGGCAGTTTAGCGAAGGCGATCACCCCTCGGTGAAGCTGTGGAGTATTGAAGCGGACGGATCTGTCAGCATACCCGAGGCTGCGGTTCTGGTCCCGGCGTCGCACCATGAGGTGATGCCCTTGATTGCTTCCGTGATATTTGCGTACCCTATGGACAGTGGGCTTTACCAGAAGCTTGGACCTGCGGGACGGAAAGGGGATCGCAATCGAAGTATCGATCTGCGAGAATGGGAGAAGAATTGGTTGCCATTCTCACGAAACTACGCGGTAGCTCTTATCAACGTCAAATTCTTAGAGAGAGACTATGTTCGAGAGATCCTTTTGAAAGAGACTCGATCTGGAGCCCTTGTAAAGATTGGGTTTTTCACGACCAGAGGATTGTTTGAAGAAGAAGGGGCCATGACGCGAATGATTCCTGTGCGATCAGTGGATTGGCGTGTCCTATAGGTTTTTAATTAAGTTCTTTCCTCTTCGCAAGGCTATGGCCTTCCTCCTACTGCGTAACCTGCGTCCCTTTAGGTAGCTTTGCAGACTCTGAACTCTGTTGTTGCATCTTCACCCATGACATCCGTTTCCGTTTGGTAGAGACCCTCCGCCTAGTTGCTGTATGACGAAACGAGACTGATGACCCCCCCGGAAGTTTTAGCTTGATCTCCATAGCTCTGATGAATGACTGTTCTCTTCTTGCCAGTTGCCATTTGTACCCAGGCGCCAGGGGAGATTATTCTACTGTTCTAGGTACTGCGGGACCATTTCCTGCACTGGAGAAGCGAGGCCATCCCGCATACTTTTCACACACAAATTTATTCTTCTTCTCTTATTATCCAGCACAATGTCGTCGCCCGAAAGACTTCAGGCTGTAATAGACGGTAACGGTCAAATGACTGGCTATTAGATAGAGAATCATTCAATAATATAGGTAATTTTGCTGGGTGGAGGCAGTAGTCTCCATTTGGTTAGGGTGTGCGGGCTTTTTTGCTACCCGCGAGCTGCAGTACATGATCCGGACCTAAGCCGGGGCTTGGCTTCGGATAATCCATCGGCCCGAAAAACTCTGTACCCCGTCATTTCCCCAGTGCCCCCATCCGTGTGACTCGATTTGAAAAACTTCTCTTCGTTGCAACGACATCTTCTCCCGGCAAACAGTCCAAAGCCTTCAATTGCCTCTATTACTTCATTTGTTCACCACAGAAATGTGCCCAACCTGCAACGGTGATGTCGTCAATGGCACCAATGGTGATGTCCCTGCAACAACTAATGGGCATGTGAATGGCACCAACGGCTATGGGCAACACACACCGCACAATCCACGGAGGCAGCCTTTTGCCTCCGTAGGTGACTATCTTTCCAATCTCTCAAACTTCAAGATAATCGAGAGCACTTTACGTGAGGGAGAGCAGGTGAGCAGACATCGGAGATCTTACTTCTGAAGTTGCATACTGACCGTGCTCCTGCAGTTTGCCAATGCATTCTTCGATACAGATACCAAGGTCAAAATAGCAAAAGCCTTAGACGCATTCGGAGTCGAATACATCGAGCTCACTTCTCCTGCATCCTCGGAGCAGTCACGCAAGGACTGCGAAATCATTTGCAATCTGGGGCTCAAGGCCAAAATACTCACTCACGTTCGGTGCGCCATGGATGATGCACGCATCGCAGTAGAAACAGGAGTTGATGGCTTGGATATAGTCATTGGGACATCACCGCAGCTGATGCAGCATTCGCACGGAAAGAGCATGGACTACATAAGAGATACTGCACTCGAGGTGAGAACTCGGCCCAAAGACTCTGCGGAAGGTCTCTGCGAGGTCTCAGAGTTGCTCGCTGACATGAATCGAGCAATAGGTGATCCAATTCGTCAAGTCCAAGGGCTTGGAATGCAGATTTTCGTCCGAGGATTCTTTCAGATCCGATCTTGTCGATCTACTCAACATATACTCAATTGTTGCCAAGGCTGGTGTGGATAGAGTTGGTATCGCAGATACCATTGGTTGTGCGAGCCCAAGACAGGTGTACGATCTTGTCCGGACACTGCGTGGGGTCGTCCAGTGCGACATTGAAACACATTTTCATAATGAGCAAGTATCCCCTTCTCACGCATCCAATGTTCCCCGCACAACTCTCTGACTGCATCATCAGTACCGGTTGCGCCATCGCCAACGCCTACTGCGCGCTGGAAGCCGGAGCTACACACGTTGACACATCAGTCCTGGGCATCGGCGAGCGGAATGGGATTACCCCACTAGGAGGGTTCGTTGCACGCATGCTGGTCGCTGATAGAGACTACGTGAGGAGCAAGTATGATCTTACGAAGCTCAAGGCTATTGAGGACTTGGTCGCGGCTGCTGTCGAGATCAATGTCCCCTTCAACAACTATATTACTGGCTTCTGTGCATTCACACACAAAGCAGGTATACATGCCAAAGCCATTCTAGCCAACCCCACCACGTACGAGATTATCAACCCAGCGGACTTTGGCATGACCCGCTATGGTGAGTAAAGCACTCGATGTTAAGTGCAACGTCCACTAAATGTGATTCAGTCCACTTCACATCGCGCCTGACTGGTTGGAATGCTATCAAAAGCCGTGTCAATCAACTCGGTTTAGACATGACGGACAGTCAGATCAAGAGCTGTACTGCAAGGATCAAGGCTATGGCCGATGTTAGGCATTTAGCCATCGAAGACACCGACGCCATTATCAACGCTTTCTACGAAAATCTTTACTCGGAGCACAATAACGAGAAGCCACTACTGGACGATATGACCGTTGACGAAAAGATACAATTCGCTCAAAAGGAGGCGGAGCTAAGTGAAGAACCGGAGTCACAGCATCTTGATCAAATCGTCGACCAACAGACGAATGTCCTGGCCAAGAATGACGTCAACGGTCACGAAGGTGTGAATGTTTTGAACGGTGAGACAGCCGCTGCGGCATGAATCTTATACAGAGGCGATCTATTGAAAAAAAAAGGTATCTGGATGATGATTCCACCCTGAGCGTTTAACTAGCGCAAGTACTTGCGAAACGTATAGTATCGAAAAGTTTTGGACATCATACCCCATCGTCGCGTGTCTTGAAACCGGCCGCTCCCTATCATCATCATCTGGCGCTGACAAGCTTTCTCCTCCACTACCTGACATGCTAGAGATGAATTTGAGCGCTCGAGAGGGGACGATTTTGGACAGGCTACCGAGCTGCAGTGGGCGTAACAAAGGTGACATGACTTGTTTTCGCTTCGGAGTTTTGGGGGAAGCTGAGGGGATGAAGGGGACGGGTAGTTGAGACTAGTGGAGAGGGAGACCTCGATCTCTGAGTCCAATACAAGTGCACGTGCAATAGAGATCCTGACATGTTGATGCGTGGCTGCTTGCTGATGGACATACTCAATATCGCGTGGCGCATCTCCATCCTTCACTGAGACGAATTGGACAACTGGTACTCTGCCCTATACTATCGGCTTCGTTTTTAGGTTTCAACATCGCGAAAGGGCATCAACTTGGACAAAATGGTCGTTCATGATTGAATTCCTTAAGGGGAATACTGAATAGCGCACAACTCCTCGCTAATGCTGCTGTTGTTGGAACCTTAAGGATGTATACCGCCTGGACTATTACTTTTTCTAAGACCACGTTTGGCGGGCACGATGTTGAAAACTAAATCGAAGCGGATATTACCAGGTTCTCTGACGCTTGACATGGAGGAGGCGCAAGCAAGATTGCAGAGTCAAGGTGTGCAACAGGATAATCGGTAGATTTGCTAACTAGCCTTTCGTTCCCATGGAGCCTCTTAGACCTTACAGGTACTGACGCTGTGTTTTAAAACTGCTACGCTTACTATTTTTGCGAATCTTACCGTTCCTTTGATTATAGGTCTGCTTATCTGTACCTCGACGGTGCTCCCGTCCAACGAGTACTTGGTGCTAGGGTTACAGCTCGGTAGGGGTGAAAAAAGTTCGGCAGAGATGAAGCTTCGGCATATACTCGCTTCACCCCGGATAAACTCATAGCATATACTAAACGTATCCGTTTCACCCCCGATAAACTCGAGCCGAGTCGAAAATAATATCGACACTTTAAGAGGGGGATAGAGGTATATACTAAGTATATACTATTAACTTTTTTATATCTAATTAATACAATAAGTAAGTAAATCTTTATTATTGATAATTATATTAAAAGATATATTATTTAATAAATATATTATTTAATAAATCTGTATATATTAAATATATCTTACATATAGATAGAAATTCCTATATCTCACACACGTAAAAATCGCTGAACTAAATTCAATTTTCTTCACCCCCGATAAGGTGCTGACATATACTGAGTATATCCCTTTTACCCCGGACGAGGTGCATATACTTAGCATCTACTCACCTCTGCCGAACTTCTTTTCACCCCTACCGAGCTGTGAGCCCCTTGGTGCTAGGATGGCTAATAGCTAATATCTTGACAGTTATCGGCTTCACCAATGTCGTCGATTCATTTTGGGGTAAGGGTTTGCTCCTATCGCTCTAAGTGATGCATTACATTTTTGCGCACTCATCACGGAGCCGCTCGCAGTTCCCGTGGTCTTGAAAACGCCGCCGGTTACTGGCCCGTCCACTTCGATTGCGATCGTGTTCTAGTTTGACATGTGGTTCTTTCCGCTCGCGTCGACGGCTGTTATCTCGCGGTTGGAATGGCCATGATTTCCAGAGTGGCCGTGGTGATCAGAGTGACCATAATGTAGAGGAGGAGGCACGCGTTGACGGCGGGAAGGCGACCTGCGACCGGACACGGGCTTCAGCTTCTTAAGGCCTGGTTGGATAGCTGTTCGAGCTCGGCCCTAGAAAGTTAGGTGTCTGGAGTGCATACCGTTTGTCTTCATTGCTGGGATCGTTCACCTCATCGCGTATGTTTCTCCTTGTGACTTGGTCACATGGACGGCGCTGCGCTCGGGGCAGTCTCTTTCGATATGTCTGGTTGTCATGATTAGAGGAGTACAGGAAGGTGGCCATTGTGTGAACTTACGCTGGCTTATCGCAGTACCAGCAGAGCTTCTCCACAGCGATTGGTTTGTTTGTAACAGGGTTTGGTACCAAGCTGCCGATTGGCACCGGCGGAAGAGCCGGTATCCAGGCGAGGATGTCCTTCGCAAAGAGCTCAACCAGCGACTTAATCTCCACATACGATGCCACATCCTTCAGAATCTCCAGCTTTCGAAGGTCGTGTTTCGGGTAGAAAGCGTCCGGCGTGCTCAAGTCATTGCCTCCCCCGCCCACCATCCAGCCCACGATCAGCTTCACGGGCTCTTTCGGGAATGGCACGTGAAGGCGGTTAGCCTGCGCATCTTCCGCCAGCTCTCGCTTCCACTTTGGAGAAAAGTGCTTCACTAATGTCCTGTGAAGGTGGAAGAGCATGTACTCGCTCTCGACCTTCGTTGCGCCGTTGACTTCGAC